CAAAAAAAAAAAAAAAAAAAAAAAAAAAACGGAGAGGGAAGAAGGAGAGAGAGAGACCAAGAGACCAAGCAGGAAACATACTGGGCTAGAGTCCCTATACTTGGCCCTCTTAGATTGGCTGAGTCCCTTCCCCTGTAAGCTGTAGCTTTCCTGAAGTGAGGTCACTGTTAAGATGAGTTGGATATTTCATTTTGGAGAGATTGTTTTCTTGACCTGAAACTAGTCCTATCCCCTGTGGAGTATGATGCTCTTGAGGGCCCATCTGAAGCTTTCAGGAAGGTGACATCAGAAGAGATACTGAAGATGATTGAAGAGAACAGGTGCTCACATTTGGGCGGATAGGGACCCTGGGGAGTGGTGTTGGGAACCAACAGGAGTCAGACATACAGTGTGGGACTTTAGGGTTTGGTGAGGAGGAATCTATGAATGAGCTAATGTCTTCTTGACCCTGAGTTCCCAGGAACTGTGGATGAGTTCAAGGGAGGGAGTTGGCTTCTGATGGGAACCTGCAGCTGCCCAGAGGGTGGTGAGGCCCTGTTAAGAGCTGAGGACCACAATTGGACCTGTTATCCCAGGGTTATGCTGGTGCTGATTGTCAGTGGCATTGTCCACATGGTGACCTAGGAATGGCTGCCCACTGAAGTGATAACTTCTCTGTAATAATATAAAGTTAAATTTACATATTTTAAATGTCATATAATTTAATTCAGAGATTATTTCCTTTTCCCTTTTTTGCCATTAAAACTTTTTATAATGGTAGAATTTTTTTGCTTCTGAAGTTTTCTTTTAATAATTCATCTTGAGAAATCTTGTCAATCTGAAATTGACTCTCCTAATTTTTTGAAGATTTACTGGTCATTGAAATCGAAAGCATTGGAAAAATGAGATTTTTTTTTTCTCTCTCTACATAGTCCATTTCCAAAAAGGTGTATTACTGGTTCTTAGTTGTTCTGATTATGATTCAAGGGCAAGAAAAACTCTGGGATAGAAATCTGATATACTGTGTGGTCTTCCCTTTCTAAGCTTTAAATTTTTCTGTTAGTAAAATGAAGGCTGGTATGAGATAACCTTGAAGAGCCTTTATATCTCTGCAAATCCAGGATCTTGATGGTAGTAGAACAGTACATAAAAATAATAGCTAATTCTTTCACTTTGTGCCACTTACTTTTGTAGTTGCTTTATTTGCAGTCACTCTTTTTTTTTTTTCATTAAGTTTATTGGTACATTTAAAGCAAACAGTACAGTTACATTTATCATTGGGATCTTGCACCTTTTACATGATATATGTTAGTTCTTATTTTTTCCCCATACCCCTGCCTCCCTTTACTATTTACAAAGACTTTGTTTCCATTTTTTTCATATTTTTTCTTTTCCCTTATTTCCATTCTTCCTTCCCTTCTCATTTCCCCCTTTAGCCATTTTCTTCCTCTTTCACCTTCTCATTTATACCTTTGGAACCTTATTTATACTTTTAGTTTTTCTTTCTTTCTTTTTTTCTTTTTTTTTTTTTTTTTTTTTTTTTTTTTTTTTTTTTTTTTTTTTTTGGTACCTGGGATTGAACTCGGGTCCTTGCACTTGCAAAGCAGCAGAACCGCTGAGCTAAGTCCCTGGCCCATGCACTTTTAGTTTTTCATTCCAGAGAAGCTATTCAGTATTTACTAAAGTGTGGACCTATTTATTTTACTTAAGAGTATAGCCTCAAGTTCCAGGGATTTGGCTCAGTGGTTCTGCCTGCCTCACAAGCGCAAGGGCTTGAGTTCAATCCCCAGTACCAAAAAAAGAGTATAGCCTCAATGTGCATCCATTTAACTATAAATGTTTCTAGTTTCTCATTCTTTACTACTGAGTAGTACTCCATTTTATATAACGTTTTCCAACTGATGGGCATTTGGGTTGTTTCCGAGTTTTAGCTATTATGAACTGTGCTGCTATAAATATGGGTACATATATATCACTGTGATATGATTCTTTTAATTCTTGTAGAATGATAGCCAGCAGAGTGATGGTTGGGTCAAATGGAACCTCTAATCCTAGTTTTTTTGGGGTTTTTTTGGTACCGGGGATTGAACTCAGGTCCTTGTGTTTGCAAGGCATGTGGCAGAAGCACTGAGCTAAATCTCTGGCCCCATAATCCTAGTTCTTTGAGGTATCTCCATATTGATGTCCACGGTGGTTGCACCAGTCTGCACTCCCACCAACAATGGAGAAGGGTTCCTTTCTCCCCCGGCACCAGCAGTATTTGTTATTGGTTGATTTCTTGATAGCAGCCGTTCTTTCTGAGGTGAGGTGGAATCTCAGTGTTGTTTTCATCTGCATGTCTTGAATGACCAATTTCGTTGAACATTTTTTCATATATTTATTTGCTGCTGAGAAATGTCTGTTCTTTTCAGATGCCCATTTTTGAATCGGGTCTTTGTATTTGGGGGGTGTCTTTTTTTTTTTTTTTTTTTTATATTCTAGATAGTAGTCTTTTGTCTGAGGAGTAGCTGGTAAAAATTTTTTTCCCACATTGTAGGTTGTCTCTTAGCTCTGTTGGTGATTTCTCTTGCACTGCAAAAACTTTTAATACAATGATATCCTGGTTGTTGATTCTTTGTGCAAGTTCTCATGCTACTGAAGATTTGTTCATAAAGTCTTCTCCTATCCCACTGTCTTCGAGAGTTCTACCTAATTTACTTTCCAGTAAGTTTAGTGTTTCTGTTGTGATATTTAGATCTTTAATCCACTTGGATTTTAGTTTGTTCATGGTGAAAGATAGGTGTCTAGCTTTAATCTTTGGCAAGTTGAAAGCCAGTTTTTCCAACACCATTTATTAAAGAGGTTATCTTTCCTCCAGTGAGGATGGTTGGCTCCTTTGTCAAGGATGAGGTATCAGTATGTTTGGTGTTGTTTCTGCATCTTCTAATCTATTCCACTGATCCTCGGGTCTGTTTCTTTGCCAGTACCATGCTGTTTTTATCACAGTGGCTTTGTAGTATACTTTCAAGTTGAGAATTGTGATACCCTCTGCCATGTCTCTGTTGCCTAGTATGGTTTTTGCTGTTCTAGGTCTCTTCTGGTTCCAAATGAATTTTTGGATTGTTTTCTCTAGTTTTGTGAAATATACTGTTGGGATTTTTTTTTTTTTTGGTACCGGGGATTGAACTTGGGTCCTTGCGCTTGCAAGGCAGGCCACTGAACTGCTGAGCTAAATCCCCAGCCCCCTATTGGGATTTCAATCAGGATTGCATTGAATCTGTATAGAAGTTTTGGAAGTATGGCAGTTTTCGCTATGTTGGTTTCTTCCTACCCAGGAGCAAGGGATGTCTTTCCATCTTCTTATATCCTTTTCTATCTCTTTTTTCAGAGTGCTGTAATTTTCAGTGTAGAGGTCTTTTGTCTCCTTCGTAAGATTGATAAAGACCACCTACTCCAATTTTCTGTAGGGTTTTTATCATGAATGGATGTTGATTTTTGTCAAATGCTTTTTCTGCATCTATTGAGACTATCTTTTTTTTTTTTTTGTACCAGGGATTGAACTCTGGTCCTTGTGCTTGCGAGGCAGGCCACCGAACCGCTGAGCTAAATCCCTGGCCCTTATCATATGGGTTTTGTCCTTGACTCTGTTGATATAGTGTATCACATTTATTGAATTTACATATGTTGAACCATCCTTGCATCCCTGGGATAAATCCAACTTGGTTAGGGTGTATGATCTTCTTGATGATCATCTGTATTCTGCTTGCCAGTATCTTATTGAGGATTTTTGCATCTATGTTCATTAGGGAGATTGGGCTGTAGTTCTCTTTTTTGATTGGGTCTTTCCCTGATTTGGGAATCACAGTAATACTTGCTTCCAGGAATGAATTTGAAAGTATTGTTTCCCTTTCAGTTTCATTGAAGAGTTTTAAAGAGTAGTGGCAATTGTTCTTCTCTAAATATCTTGTAGAATTCAGCAGTGAAGACATCAGGACCTGGGCTTTTCTTTGTTGGTAATGTTTTAATTACATTTTCAGTTTCATTGAATGTAATTGGGGTTGTTTAAACATTTTCTATCTTCTTTGTTCAACTTTGAAAGTTCATATGTATCTAGGAATCTGTCCATTTCTTCCGTATTTTCCATTTTATTGGAGTACATGTTTTCAAAGTAAGTATTGATTTGGACTTCTGCTGGATCTGTTGTGTCTTCACCTTTTTCATATGCAATTCCTAATTGCATGAATTTGAGTCTTTTCTTTCCTTTTTTTTTTTTTTTAATAAGATTGGCTAAGGGTTTATCGATTTTATTTATTTAGAAAAAACAACTCTTCAATTCATTTATTTTTTTTTTTTTTTTGTGTAGTTCTCTTAGTCATCGTTGTATTAATTTCGGCTCTGGTCTTTGTAATTTCCTCCCTTATAGGAGCTTTGGGCTTGTCTTGCTCTTCTTTTCCTAGAAGCTTAAGGTTAAACATTAGGTTTTTTTATTTGAGCTTGCTCTGTTTTCCTAATATGGATATTTACTGCTATGAATTTCCCTTGTAGAACTGCTTTCATTGTGTCCCATAGATTCCTGTATGTTGTATTGGCATTATCATTTAATTGTAGAAACTGTCTAATTTCTTCTTTAATTTTCTCTGTGACCCAGTGGTTGTTCCACACCATGTTATTTCATTTCAGTGTGTTTGTGAAGTTCTTGCAGTTTCTTAGGCTATTGATCTCCAATTTAATTGCACTATGGTCTGATAATATACAGGGGATAACTTCAGTTCCTTTGCATTTACTTAAGCATGTTCTATGAGCTAGTATGTGGTCTGTTTTGGAGAATGACCTGTGTGCAGCTGAAAAGAATGTGTATTCTGATTTTATGGAGTGTAACACTGTAGACATCTACTAAGTCTACTTGTTTTAAGGCTTGGTTCAGTTGTGTTATTTCATTGTTGATTTTTTTGTCTAGATGATCTGTTTGTGTCATTGGAGTATTGAGGTCCCCCACTACAATCAGTGCTTATTTCGTTTTTCATATCCATTAATATTTGTTTTGTATAGTTGGGAGAATTACTATTTGGTTCATATATATTCATGATTATCATTTCTTCCTCTTGTATTGTTTCCTTTACAAGGATGTAGTGGCCTTCTTTGTTTCTCTTAATTAGCTTGAAATCTATTCTGTCTGCAAATAAGAGAGCTACCCTTCTTTTTTCTGGGCTCCTGTTGCATGGAGAACTGTTTTCCATCATTTTACTCTCAGTCTGTAAATTTCTTTGTGGATTAAATGGGTTTCTTGTATACAGCATATTGTTGGATTTTGCTTCTTCTCTCTCTTTTTTTTTTTTTTGGTACTTGGGGGTCAAACTTGGGCCTCTGCTTGCGAGGAAGGTGACGGAGCCACTGAGCCAAATCCCTGGCCCCTGGATTTTGCTTCTTAATCCATTCTGCCAGCCTGTTTCTTTTGATTGGTGAACTAAGGCCATTAACATTGATGGTTATAACTGCTATGTATTGAATTTTAATTGTCATGTTATTTTCCTGTTGTTGGTTGTTTTATTTTTTATTTTTCCCTCTCTCCCTTTAATTTCTTGCCTTGCATGTATATTTGCTCTGTTGGCCCTTTTGGAGTTGTGGGTCTTTATTTTCTTTTTCTAGGATATTGTTTAGAAATGTTTGGAGTGCTGGTTTGGTGTTCATGATATTTTCAGGTGTTCTTTGTCATGGAAGTATCTTGTTTCCCCCTCAATTTTGAAAGGTAGTTTTGCAGGATACATCACTGTAGGTTGGAGGTTGTTTTCTTTTAGGACTTGAAATACCTCACTCCAGGCTCTCATTGACTTGAGTGTTTGTGTTGAAAAGTCTGCTGTGATGCTTTCCTTTGCATGGGATTTGTTTATTTTCTCTAACAGCTTGTAGTATTTTGTTCTTCTGTTAGGTTTCTGGGATCTTGACTATTATATGTCTAGATGTAGATTATTTTTGATCATGGCTAGTTGGACTCCTATATGTCTCACTTATCTATATGTCAGATTCTTCCCTGCTGTTTGGGAAGTTTTCTGTCATTAATTCTGTGAACAGTTTTTTTTTTAATGTCATTTGAACTTTCTCCTGCTACTTCATGGATTCCTATCAGTCTTCCTATCATTCTTCTTTGCATCATCTAAGAGTTTTTGGATTGATTTTTCATGGTCTCTTGCTGTTTTTAAGAGATCTCTCTATCTTCTATACCTGAAATTCTGTCTTCACATTTGTTCATCCTTCTGCGAATGCTTTCTATAGAGTTTTTAATCTTCTGGATATCTGTTTGAATCTGTTTCATGGATTCCATTTCTTATGTTGGCATTCATAGTTTCCATTTCTTTCCTTTCCTTTCTTTCTTTTTTTTTTGGTACCAGGGATTGAACTTGGGACCTTGTGCTTGCAAGGCAGGCAGTGGAACCACTGAGCTAAATCCCTGGCCCTCCATTTCTTTCCTATGCTGGGCATTCATGGTTTCCATCATGGTCCTGAGCTCATCTATTTTTTTTATCTGTTTCTGTTCTAGAGTCTCTAAACATGTCTTTCATTATTCGCACTATCTCTGTGGTTATCTGGGAAATTACTTTTGTTTTGAATTTTTCTAGAGCCTCATTCATCTGTTTGTTTTTTTTTTGTTTGTTTGTTTGTTTTTACTTCTATGTTTTACTTCCTAGGTTCAGGGTATCCAGATGGTTGATGTCAAACTTTTCCATGTCATTTCCCCCAAGTTTAGCTTTGTTGGGGTGGATGTCTGTGTCTTGTTTAAATTCTTTCTTGTTTCTATTTTTGTTGTTGGTCCTGTCCTTGGTTTAATTCCTGGGTTGATACTTCAATCTCCCAGATATAGCTGGTCTTTAGGTTTTGAGTATCTAGTGTCTCTGAGGCAGTCTCATTTTCATTATACCAGGGAGGACAGCTATGGTGGTGTGGTGTGCCTTTATTGCAGATTTTCTTCACTTTTCCACTGGGCTTCAATTTTCATCTAGGAGCCTCAGAGAGGCCCTCTTTCTGTTTTTTTTTTTTTTTTTTTTTTTTTTTTTTTATTTTTTTTTTTTTTTTTTTTTTTTTGGTGGGGGGGACATGAACACTGCTGTATTGGTGGCCACACGGCTGGGTGCCTCTGGCATGCTGGATCGCAGGGGTGGACCTACCATAGATTCGCAAGCTGCTGCTGCACTCCTCTGGTGTGTTAGGTTGGAGGGGTGGACAGGGAAGCTGTTACGGTCTTAATGTCTTTTATTTTCCAGAATCTTCTTTTCACTTCATTTTCTTTCTTTGGCACCTTCCTCTGCTCCTTTATGGTTTTAGAGATCCACCATCAAATACATACCTTCTTTCTTGTAGTCTTTTTGTTCTTCTTCTTGAGAGATAATCTCATTAAGTTAGCCTTTTTTGCGGGGGATACCAGGGATCGAACTCAGGCCCTTGTGCTTGTGAGGCAGTCCCTGGAACCACTGATCTACGTCTCCAGCCCAAGGTAGCCTTTTTTGTTCAGAGGTTCATTGTGGGTCAGGTCATAATTTGTAGAGGTTTCAGTCCGTAGTCACCTGGCTCCAAGGCAGGGTGGCATGGCAGAAGAGAAACAGTTCATAGCAGAGCAGGCAAGAGGCAGTGAACAACAGCAAGCATGCCTTTCCTCTTATCGCAGTATCTCTTTTAATACAGAAAAAGTCAAGGTTGAGGGCACTTATCATTGGTCTCTGTTTATAAATGAAGAAGCCAGGGCACAGAGATGTAAAGAAACTTGCTCAGGCCATTGATAATAGAGAGGGGACATAAGCCCAGTCATTTTGACTCTAGAGTTTACACTAACCCAGCAGTCTATAAACTGTGGCCTTTTCTGGCCTGCTGCCTATGAAAAGAAGGTAAGTAAAGTTTTATTGAAATACAGTACCATTAAGTCACATAAGTAATGTCTCTGGCTGCTTTTACAATACAATACAGAGATTAGTAGTTCCAAGAGTCTGTATGCCCACAAAGCCTAATATATTTTCTGTCTGGCTTTTCACAGCCCCTTGCACTACACCATAGCCTTCCTGTTAAAAGAATTGTGTATGTATGGGGGAGGAAGGGAAGTGTCTCTGCTCACATTGTAGAGAGACGATTACTGACAAAGCTTGTCTTAACCCTGACATATTCCTTTCTTTCGTTGCCTTGTTTCAGCCACTGCTCCTTTGTCATAGAAGCACTGAAGTCTTTGCCATTAAATGAGGAGAGCAGAGATCACCATGCCCGGTGTATATGGTTTCTAGATACCCTCATCAAATTTCGAGCTCAGAGAGCGATAAAGGGGAAAAGTAAGTCCATGATAGACATTTTGCTGTAGTTATTTCCAGTTTATTTGTACTTCTCAATTAATTCTAATGAGAGAAGAAAAGATATGTCTGCCCAACCCTTAATTTTTGACTGTACAGCAGAGCAGTTCCTGGCAGTGCTGCTGAAAGTTGAAGGACTCACCAGCCTCTGCTCTCCTTCTGTCTGGATCTCTATTTCCTCTTCTGGAAATGGAGACAGGTTGGATTGTGATTGCTCAGGGGCTACCAGAGCTAATTAACATTCATTATTCCCGTTCTGCCTTAGGCAAAGTACAGTATATCCAGGTCTAATAAAATGGAAATGTTAAGGAACTATTAGAATAAACATTAATTATGCAGAAAGAAAAATTGGTTTTACTTGTGAAGGTTCAAGGCAGGTTTGTGTTGTGTCATTTTAGAAGACAGGGTCCATTTCTCATGGTAATCCCAGTGTCACCTGATGTGGCAGTCACACATCCATCAACAACTGCAAACCCAGCAGGATGTGTATGCCCAGGGGTCTGTGTTCATGTTTGCAGTGTTTGCTTCATTTTTTTTTTTTTTTTTTTTTACATTCCAGCGTACCTTCCTCTCTTCTGGGCTTCCCTCTGTAACCTATTTTAATTCTTGTCTTTAGGCCTCACTGGAGTTTGTTCTTTCTGTCTTCTCAGGGGCCCGTCATAAATATTTCCTGTGCATGTCTGATCAGCATGTGAAGCACACCTGAGCATATTTTCATTTTAAAGTGCCTGTCTGGATCTTGGGAGCCTGCTTCTCTGACCCTGTTGGTTGTGATCATTATAGTGGCCCAGCTCTTGACCTCTTTCCCTAGCTCATGTATGAGGCATGGCTTGAGAGTTTTTCAAGAAAATGATCAGATACTGCTTTGTGTTGTAGGTGCCCTGGGGCCTGGAATCCCCCACATCATCAACACCAAACTGCTGAAGCAGTTTACCTGCTTGACTTACAGTAATGGCAGGTGAGACAGGTAGATTTCTGGGTTTTTTGCCTGTGGAGAAGAAAGCAGGTGTGGGGCGGGAGTGAGTAGCTGGGGCTTGGGTGCAATTGTGTGACCACAGGTACACAGTGCTGAAGAAATTGGTGTCATTTGGCCAGTTTCTGGGGTTAACTAAATTGAAGACATGCTATGAATTATGTACTCTATCCTTGGAAAAGTTCACTTTATCTTTTTAGGATATTAAAGGCTGTATGAGAAGTCCTGCAGTAAAGTCTTACTTCCCTTTACATACTTTTTTTGAGGAATTCCTCCTAATAACCCACAGAATGAGTGTCCCGTGGAACGACAGTATCGCAGGAAAGGGCAGGCAGGGTGGTGACTTTGGGGAAAGAACCCCACACAGCACCCTGGGTTTCTTTCCACTCCTTGGCTTGCAGTGTGTTCCCTGCTCCTGGATATACCTGGAAGAAGTAGCATCTGAATTTAGGGTGACTTGTCCTGATAACCCAGCTAAGAAGGCAGGGACTGACTCAGAGGATCCTCCTCATGAGTGCAGTGCTCCAGCACTGCCTGGGGGAAAGGAGCACAATTTTCTTTGTCCACTCAGAGGGAAATGCTGGGGTTGGCTCCCTGCTATGTGAGGCTTGGGCACTTTGGAAGGAATAAGGAATGTTGCTCAAATTCCTTTACTTTCTTCAAGTTGGGAAGACAATGTATGCAAAGGGAATGGGTTTGGATGTTCTTATTTTGTTCTTAGAATTTATTTCTTTACTGCTGTTGATTTTACAGATTACGGAATATAATTTCAAATTCTATGAAAGCAAAGATCACTGCCTATGTGATCATACTTGCCTTGCACATGAATGACTTCCAGATTGACCTGACAGTGTTACAGAGAGACCTGAAACTCAGTGAGAAAAGGTGAGCGCAACAGAACAAAAGGCTTCATGCAGGGTGCTTGATGTAATTCTTGCACCGCTGGAAAGCATGGGGCACCATCATAGGGGATAGGGGTGGGGAAAAACATGGGACCGGAGGACGGACAGTTTTCAGTGAGTGAATGAATGGCTAGATGTTATTGAGTGTTTCTCATTGTTAGGCACCATATTAAATTTTTCAATGTTACTTCATTAATTTCTCTAAAAGACAGTGGAAAGTGGAAGAATTGAAGTCCAGAAAAGTAATGACTTTCCCAAGAGGAGTTGCTGAGCTACAGAACCTGAGTCTTTCTATAGCATTCTGTTTCTGAATAACAAAGCATCCTCTGTTCTCTGAATTGCTTCCTCTGAAGAGAGGAATTCTACACAGTTCTGAGGGGTGAGCTTAGGGGCAGGAATATAGGAGAACCTACTTCCAGCTTAGCAAGCAGAGTTTTAAGAGTCGATGGAAAGTGGCTGGGGATTTAGCTCAGTTGTGCTGCTGCCCACTTGCGAGCACAAGGTTCTGAGTTTGATCCCTGGTACAAAAAAAAAAAAAAAAACAATTAAGAGTTTATGGAAGGGGTGCAGGGGATGTGTTCAAGGCAAGGTGGAACTGTTGGTTACCAGGGATTCCGTATTTGTGTTTCTCTGACTGGATGGGGATAGCTGGTAGAGAACCTTTCAGGCTCCTTCCAGTCTTGCTAGAGATTTGTACAGGAGGAGGCAGAGCCCCTCAGGATCCTTCATCAATGGATGAGAGACATCTGACAGGCAAGGCCCAGATTGTATTTTTATTATTTATTTATTTTGTGAAACAGGGTTGCTGTGTAGTTCGTCCTGGCCTTGAACTCACAGCAATCTTCCTGCCTTGGGAGGCCAATTGGCTTTCCAATTACTGAGATTACAGACATGCACTACCAAGCCCAGTTCCTAGATTGTATTCTATGAGAGCCTTTGTACTTCACAGCCCTCATGGAGGGTTTATTCTAAGGGTGGTTCATAAACCTGTCGCCTTAGGCAATGAGGTTGAAAAATAAAAGTGAACAGGAGTTAGGACCCTGTCAAATTCTATAGGAAGTGCTCAATCACGATGGTTTTATAGTTTAATTATAGGTGGTAAAGATAATTATTAGTAAGATCTAGAGAACCTGGTTTTCCATAACCTGAGTGGATATTCTGATAGCAGCACATTAAATTGTCTGTTTGTTAGCTCTGGGGGAGAGAAAGCATTCTTTCTGCACCTCTGCTGGGGACTTGTTACTACCAGCCAGTTTGAGGATCCTGTCTTCATGGCCTGGGAGCATGAATGTGTTTCTCCCTCTTGCCAAACCTCCCTAAATGTATCTCTCCATTTGTTGTTTATTTCTTCCTAGGATGATTGAGATAGCTAAAGCCATGAGGTTGAAGATCGCTAAAAGAAAGGTGTCATTGTTACCTGGCAGGGAAGAAGATCATAGGCTGGGCACTCTGTCCATCCCACTGCCTCCAGCTCAGACCTCAAACCACCAGTCAAAGCGGAAGAAGATGTAAATATATGTATGCTTTCCAGGCAGCCATTTTGGCCACCTCATAGTCACTGCTAGAAAAGGAAATGAAAGGACTCTTGCCTCAGCATGAGTAGTCAGAAGCCAACATCTCAGTCATGCCTGTTTTATGTAGAAATATAAAGTGATGGCCAGACTGACTTCATCTCCCTCTTGTGTCACTGTAAGTGGCAGATGTTTCTCATGTTTGCATGTGTGGGATTTGTGACAGTGGGGTCTGAGAAGTCCTAAGATTTCACCGGGCTGAACCCTGAGCCACATCTGAGTCTTGAAAGGCCAGTGCAGTAGGTGTGAGAATCTAGCATAGCAGGGCTGAGAAAACTTGGCTTCCAGCTTCATCAGGAGCTGTGGGTCACCAGTAGGAGGGTGCTGTCAAGACAAGCTACTTATAGATTGTTCTAATAAGGTGGAGCCAAGTCAAGAAGTGATAATCCCAGTTTTTCTGCCTGGGTAAGGTCACATAATGGGGAAGTTAGCCAAGTGGGACGAGAAATTAATTTATTGGAAAGCATTGATGGTCAACCAGTGCCTTCACCTGCTATTTGGATGCAGGCTTTGCTAGCAGGACAACTGGCAGTGAAGCTCCTAGTTTGCTAAAGGACCCGTGGATAGAGGCTAGGCTGTCTGTCCCCACAATACCAAAGGATTACCTGGTTGTGACTGAAAGCAAGGAGTTCAAGGCCAAAAAAAAAAAAAAAAAAAAAAA